TCCAACACCATCATGGTGCTCAATCCAACACCATCATGGTGTTCAATGCAATACCAACATGGTACTCAATCCAACACCAACATGGTGCTCAATCCAACACCATCACGGTGTTCAATCCAACACCAACATGGTGCTCAATAACTCTCCACCAATGTGCTCAACCCATCACCACCGTGGTGCTCAGTCCTTTCACTTCTCAGCACACAAGTGAAGTCTGTGCATCCTTTCCCTTGAAACAGCCATCTGGTGGAGCTATGACCCATGTGCCCAAACTAGACATCCAGATGTGCTCTCCAAGGTGTGGGCAGCGCAGGATGCACTGGGAACAACCTCATGAGATGGGGATACGTAGCAGGAGGTCCCATGGCCTCCAAGTTGGGAGAACGCTCTCTAGGTTGCAAGAAGCTCCCACCCTCACCATGGGAATGTGACGGGCTCTTTTGCAGTGTTCCTGGCAAGCTTTGGCACGCTGTCTGCCATCCGCTACTTCCGACGGCAGGTCAGGGAAGGACGGCCCCGCAACTAGCCCCAGGATAGCACGTACCCAAGGACAGCTGAGGATGGGCACCTTGTTCTTGGGCAGCACGAGGAGCCCAGAGCCCAGCACTGAGACTTCTGAGGAGCCATCCCCAAAGGGGACAAGATGTCACGGGGAGCAGGATCCTTCCGGTGACAACACGGTAGGCGGTTTGTACCTGTGCCGGACAGGAGAGGAGCCTGGAGTGGGCCAGCTCTGTTCTTTCTTTGCACACTTCTTGCATATTTATGCTGCCTGCAAGGAGCAGGATTGGCACCCGACCTCCCTGTGGGGGTCACCCACTGGCAAAACACCGAGATGGAGAGCAAAAAGAACAAACAGAAAAAGTGCTTCATGTTCTACAAAAGGGATCGGGGCTGTGCACTGGGAAGAGCCCTGGCAAGGACAGGAGCGTGTCGGAGGGGGCACAGGGAGTGCACATGTGGCTCCGATGGGTGCCAGCCCTGGGGTCTGTTTGTTCCATGCTGCTCCTGTCCTGGAGACATGGAGTGGGAGGAGGAGGAGGAGGGTGAGTGTGACCTTGTGGGGGACGAAGGGGTGAGAGGCAAAAACAAAACGGTTCTGTGTCTGGTCACCCAAGAGCATTATTCATGAGGGTTTTCTGCTCTCACAAGTCTGTGAACAGCAGAAACGAGGAGTTGGGTAGGCACTTAGGGACCAGATCCACACAGGTACTGGGGAAATCTTCTCTAAAATCCCATGTGGGTCTTCCTAGGAGCTTTATAGGAGCAGCCCGATGCAACAAGGGGCAAGAAGAAGAGGTTCTGCTCTTCTTTTACAATACAGAGTGCCATGCATGGGTTGCACTGAAGACCTTAAGTGCAGAGCAGAGAGCACACAGTGCAATTATGCAGTGGGATACATATCAGCACGTGATGAGGGAGAGATACTGGCTCTGTGTAGACTGTGTAGGAGCTGTACGTTGGGTATGAGGAGTTGTGTGGAGGAAGAGAACAGACTAAATATGCTGGAAGCTTCCAATAAAGATCTATCTCCTTTAATACTTCGTGTGCACTCCCGTGTCTGCATGGTGAGCTCCTTCAGAGCCTGGGCTTTCCAGTGCTCACCTCTCTTAGCAGCCAGGTGAACCCGAGGTGCAAGTGGGAGCAGCCAGCAGCTCAGCATCTCAGTCCCACCACCACCATAGAAACGACCTTTTGGGTGCATCCTGGAGGCTTCGTGCGTGTCACCGAGGTGGGCGCAGTGCCACCCTGCCCTGCACGCAGCTCCCATGGCTGTCACCTCCTTGAAAAAGTCAGGCAGGTGCTGGCCTGCTTGCACCGTGTGCGCCGAGGGGGCAACGGCTCTGTGCTGCAATCTGCTTGGCCACAGCAGCTCCTTTTATATTTCAGTCACATCCCCTGTCATGAGATGAGAGCAAAGCTTCCTGCGGACATTTCTGTTAGGTCAGGGCTGTGTCATTGCCAGCAAGAGGGCTTCAGAGGGAGAGCTGGGAGCTGGAACGGCGCAGTGGGACCGTGCTGCTATTGCCACCTCCTGCTGTATCAGAGCAATGCCAGGAGGAGATATTTGAGTCTCACCCAGATGGAGCCCAGGAGCCAACACTGCAGCCATGCACCAGGGATGCAATTTAACCCAGTGCAGCTGGGGGGGCAGAGGGCTGCTGCTGAGGGTTGCAGTGCTGCAAGCAAGGCCGGGCAGCTTGCTGCAGGCGCATGGAGTGAATTGGAAAGCCCCTTCCTGAGACCCCCAGGACACGGGGGGAGAGTGAAGGCGAAGGGATGGCAAAGAGAGAACAACGCCTGCCAGAGGAAGGTGCGCTGTAATTGTAGGGCTCACAGTACCATTCCATTCTGAATAAATAGATCCTGTTGGTTATTAGCACACAGCTTCCCAACAAAAGGTAAACCTGGAACGACACGACGACAGCAGAAGACCCAACCCAACACACGCACCGCAGCACCGAGCCTCATCCACAGCTTCAACATTAAATACATCTCCGACTCAGCCACATGTACACATTAAATACATCAAATTCACTCAAACCTCGCAATGTAAACTTTGCTGGATACCTTCTGGAAAATACAGGTAAGTACAATGTAATACGTAGACATTCAAGTACAAAACGCTGCTGGGTTGCTTTGTGTGCACCAAAACAGAGATTTCATCGCTATGTTTGGTTTGCAGCCTCCGGAGGGGACAAAGGTTAAGAATTTGGAGCCTCAGGTAAAAAAGAAAACATTTGGGTTTGCTGCTGACCTCATATGTGCTGAGGGATCTGGCCAAGAGGCTGCAGAGCGATAGCACCCAGACTCTGTCCCCTGTTGTTTGTGCCCTGATCTCCCCAGGTGCCCCCAGATGCTGAGGGATGGGAGGAGGATGTGGCCCCCTTCCCCCATCCCCCCCTCGCAGTGGGAACCATTCTGGGATGTCCTTAACACTGCTCCCAGGGATCGCTGCGGATCCCTTTGCTTCCCACACCCACTGGGGTGGGAGAACAGAGCCCAGGGGTCATCCTGTGCCCGGTGAGACCTCTGTTCACACTTCATAGCAGGGTGCTGGGCTGTCTGGCTCCCTGCCCTCGGCGTCCCACAGGTTGTCATAGCTGAGCTCGCTCTGGAAGCTCTGCAGCTCAGCGTAGTCGTGGTACACTGCAGAGTCACGGTGCAGGCAGCCGCCTTCTGGCACATCGTAGGCACCCATGCCATCATCTGCAGGGAAACAGCACAGCCCTGAGAGTCCCTCCAAAGCAGCCTGATTCAGCTGCCTGCGGTCAGCGAGGAGGAGGGAAGGGCACAAATGAGGCCCTGCACTCCTCCTTCAGCCCTGCTCCAAAGACACCGATGAGGGACGTGGATGAGGCTGGAGATGGGGACGGAGAACCCAGCAGCACCCACAGGCCTCACCTGGTGGCTGCAGCAAGGGGCCCAGATGTTCCTCTGGCAGAGATGACACCTGGAAAGGAGGAGATGAACCGATTGGGATGGCACAGTGCTGCAGCCCTGGGGTACCCCATGCCCTCCCCACTCCCCAGGCTGCACCCACACAACGGGCTCCAACCCTGAGAGAGACAAATCAAGTTCCCAGCCCCTCCCAGGCGCTTACAGAACAGCACTGCAGGGCTGCTCCCTGCCCCTGGGCTGCACTGACAAACTCACGTTGGCAAGGTATGGAGCATCTGCAGGAAGCTGGGGGTGTCTCTGTGCCCCGAGCACCTCCATCCAGTGCCTGCCAGGCAGGGGCTGGGCAATCTTCTGACACTGCAGGACCTAAACAGAGCAAATGGCAGAGCTGATGCCCATCATCGAGGCCCCCCACCAGATTGCTTCCCTACGGCAGCAGTCAGAGCTGCTATTTCCATAAGCATCACAGTGAGGAAAACAGAAGGAATCGGAGAGGAGGAAACCTTACGTTGCTCATTTCCAGCTGTGCTGGGGGGTCCGTGGGGCGATGCGGTGTGCTATAGGTGCAGTAGGGCTCACTGTACAGTGCAGGCAGGATGGGGTGCTGGGAGATGAGGCTGCACGGTGCCTGTTCCACATCCTGCGTGCCTGGACGACATCTGCCTTTGGGCTTCTTGGTGCTGCTGCCCCTCTGCAGCTCCTGCACAGGCAGCACGGTGCTTGGCCAGTTGGTGTGGGGTAGGCACTGCAAAAAGGCAAAGCTGGCTCTTTTCCATCAGCCTGGACCCACATGTAAGCAATGCATGGTCACCGCCTCGCTTGGGTGCTCCACCTGCTCCCTTCCCACTAATTTCCTGGGACTTGGGCATGGCTTTCACTCACATGGAGAGGTTGGGAATAACCAGGGCTGTGTGGCTCCTCCAGCAGCATGAAGGACTGAGCGTCGTGCAGCGAGCCGCTGTGCTGGGACAGGTGTGTCAGGGTGTTGGTCCCTTTCCCTCCAGATGCCCAAGAGTTGGTGCGGCCATCGGAGGCCAGTGAGCCTCTCCCACTGCCAGCAAACTGCAGGGGAAGAGAAAAAGTTTGCATCAGAGCAACCTGAGCATCCCAACACCCTGCATTGACATGTGCTGCTCCATAGGGCTGAGCATCCTACAGATGGAGCTCCCTAGGGCTGAGCATCCCACGGATAGAGAACCCCAGCTCTGAGCATCCTACAGATGGAGCTCCCTTGGGCTGAGATACCTATGGATGGGGCTAAAGCTTCACAGTCCAGCTCAGCCTGGGCTCTTGCATCAGGGCCACCCATCCCCATCCCCACTGGATTTATACTGGTTTCCACACAAATCCTCAACAGCTGTTACCTGGCTGAGGTGTGGCAGCTTTGATCCTGAGAAACTCTCTGATCCGGACAAGGAGGAGTCAGCATTTCGAAACTGGGCAGTTTTGAGGCAGTAGAGCCACTCCTGGTAATCCTCATAGCTGCGGCAGATGACGCGGATGGAGTTGATCAGCCGGCCTGCGAGACAGCATCACGCGGGGCTGCTGCTGGGCTGCAGCCCACAGTGCCTCCCCCAGGAACCCATGGTCGTTCCCATACCCATTCCCCATACCTTATCTCCATCCCCATCCCCACACTGCATCTCCATACCCCATTCCCCTTTAGCCATCCCCACACCCTATTCCCATCCCTCAACTCCATCCCCCATTCCCCATCCCCACCCCCGTTGCCGTCCCATTCCCCATCCCCACACACCATACACCATCCCCATATCTCATCCCCAGGCACCAGATCCCTACACCACCACGGGACAGGAGGATCCCAGCCCAAATCCAGATTGCATCCAGCGCAGCCCTAAATATGTACCTTCTATTAAAAATGAGGTTTTCTCATTCTCTTCAAACAACACCTGGATGGCATTGAGTGGCAGCTCGCCCTGTTGGGGATAGAAAAAAATCACTGTCTCTTTTCTAGCCCTCTCGGCAACATTTTCCCACCTTTTAGCAGCTGATGTCTCCAAAACACTGCACAAGCGTTGTCCCCACAGAAGCTGACCTGCTGGCTGGGATTTCCAGGAGAAAGAATTCCTGGAAGCCAGGAATCTCCCCTCCATACCCTGCAAAGCCTCACAAAGACAGGGCTGAGCCCCATGGGTGCCAGCAGCTGAAACGTGAGACCTGGGCTGTAGGGCACACACTTGTGGCTGCCACTCCGGTGGCACACATGGCAGAGGCTGAAGCGCTCTGTCCCCAACTCGTCCTCAGTGCTGAGCACAATGCAATCATTGCACGCACGTCCACAATGGCATTGCACAGCCATGGAGGTGGGTTGGTGCTGAGGGAGGGATGACAAACTCCTGCAGTATTTTTCCTGCGTAGGAAAGCCATTTATGGTCCGAGCAGTGCAGACCTTGGGAGGAAAAACTAAAGCAGCGCTCTGTGACTCAGTTTTCCCTTGTTGCTGCCGTAAGAAATGGACTTTGGTGCTGCCACGCATGGGCGGGGGCTGGCGTGGGGCAGGCACAGAGCAT